TCCTTCTCTGGAGACATTCAAGCCCCGCCTGGACGCCTTCCTGTGTGATCTCATTGAGGTTCCTGCTCTGGCAGGGGGGTTGGACTGGATGATCTTTCGAGGTCCCTTCCAATCCCCACCATTCTGTGATTCTGTGATACTTAAGTCTTGTGTTCTCTACCATTTTACATTTCCTGTCATTTACCCAGGTGAGAAGAGTACAGAAAGCATTTAAGCACGGCTGTAAGTGGAATATGAAACAGGAGAAAGGTGAAGAGCAAATAATGAGTACAGATCCAAGGGCATCCAGGCAAAGATCAAATATTATGTGAGGAAAACAAAAGAATGTTGAGACAAAACAGGAAGGAGTGCAGCACTGAGAGGTTTTAGGAAGCAGGCATTGCCTAGAGAGACTGAAATGAAGGAGAAAGAGAAAAGGAAGAGAAAGACAGGAAGCACCAGGATTAGAAAGTCTCATGGGAGGAAAAAAAGAAATTGATACAAAAGTGGGTGAATCTGGCCACAGATCAGAGCTGATCAATTCCTTCACATCTCACTTAGGAGACCTCAGCCACTTTCCTGCCCTGGATTTACTGCCCACAGCAGGTATTTGGTCCCAGGCAGACCTGTCTCACTCCACGGTGTATCTTCTTGCTGACACGTGTCCAGTGGAGCTTGTGGAAAGCCAGGTTGATAGATTCATCACATAATGCATAGTGAGAATTACTCATTTACCAGAAACTGCTCACTGTCTCGTGTCTGTCCTGCTTTTAAGCCAAGAATATTAATGGTTCAAGTAAGAACAAATGAGCTCTGGCATGGTCCTGAGTGGTAACAAAAGTAAATTCTAACCAACAACCCTTGAAAAGAATGTACAATTACATCCTCCTAAAATTAAAGGTTCAGCTGCTTGTAAGGAAGATGTCAGGCAGCAGCTAAAGGTGTCTAACAGGAGAAGCAGTGAATAAGAATAGAGTGATACAGGTACTTGCTTTCTTACCCCTAAGCTTTCATTTTTAAGCTAACATTTGCCCTCTAATGTTGACTTTCATGGTAATGCAGTACAAATAGTTATAACTTCACAATCCCATCTCTTCTCTGAGTAAATTGGAAATTTGGAAAAGAAATGCATATTTTGCACAACATTCTCTGTTATAGATGTTATGTGCCTGGGCATGTAATTCAAAACTCCAAGCAGTCAGTCTCATGCTTAAATTTTACTTTTCCTTTAGCATTTAAATGTTAATCGTGCCTTAACTTTATTTCTGAGCTAAGAGATTTTTGCCTGAATACAAACAAACAAGATGCCACATACCTGAGAACAAGGGCTTCAAAAGAAATGACACATCAAGGGGAATCCAAAGTCATCTTCCTGGTGAAGTTCCACAGTCACTTCATTTTTTTTTCCTAAATCCTTGAGATATAAAGGAAAATAATCAAGATATTAAGTACTTATATACCTCTTACTTTATAGTGTTTATTCTCCTGACATTTTCTGTTAATCATTGCTTCTGACTGGACATTGGATTACGTGGACTTGGCCTGACACACGATGTTTTTTCTTGTGTTCCAAGTGGTTTAGGGACTGAAGCTTCTGTATGGTGGGATGATAGAAATGCAGAAAAAAAAGGAGTTTAATAAGAATTTTTGATTGATAAGACTTGTCTACACAAAGATTTAACTTGAAATGAAAAGCTTTCAAGAAAAAAAAATAAAATGAATGCAACTGGTTTAATGCACTTAAAACCAGTGCCTACGCTCACTGCTTTCACATGAGGAAATGGTTGGATGACAGGGTTGGACTCGATGATCTTAAAGGTCTTTCCCAACCACTATGACTCTAGGAAGAGGCCAGAACATGGAGTCTTCCTGTTTCATTGTGGATGGGCACCCCAGTGTGATGCTGGTGCTTTGGCAGGACAGCTGCTGGAGGAACCTGAATGTAACCAGACATCCCACAACCCTGTCTTCTCTTCACATGAGCAGTTGCCATGTTCACACGTTGGTGAAGCTGCCAGAGAGGAGATGCCGTGCTGCGTTCCTGTTAGCTGGAGATATTCATGAGCTTGCTCAGATGTCTGCAACATTCAGGTGCTGGTGAGGCACAGCTTTGGGGCACTGCAGCCCCGTGGATGCAGCAGGACTGAAGCTGTGTGGGGATAAGGCTCACAGACAA